GCCGCCAGGCCGGAGAGAGACCCCGCGCTGGTCCCAGGAGCGACCGGGGTTGGGGGCGACAGAGGCCGGCTCCCGCTCGGCAGGAAGAGCCGGGCCCGGAGACCAGCTCCTGCGGGGGCCCGGCCCGGCCTGGGGGCGCTGCGCTGCCCCCGCTCCAGAGGCCGCGGGGGGAGGGGAGGCTTCCAGGGGACATGGGGGACACAGGGTGGGCTGCACTAAGGACCTGCCGTCCTTCCTGCCCTGGACCCTAGGAGCTGTAGACGTCAGTTGTTCTTGAGCTTTGACAACATGCTTTGCTTGCTGGAGCCCGGCCTGCTCCTTTCAGTGCCCCCCCCCCCCCCAGCTGTCACCCCAGGAGGGCGGGGTGCAGGGTCGGGGCCTTGCACGGTGACATCCACAGCCAGGCCCCTTCAGTCTCTCCCAGTATAAGCTCGGGCAGGGCCCAGCGCAGCGCAGTACTCAGTCTCTTTAACTGCAGGACGCCAGACAGTGGTTAGTGCTATACATTTACTTCCTAGCTCATGGACACCGGGCGTCAGAGAGGTTATAACCTTTTTGCAGATAAGGAAGCGCAGGTTTCAACAGTTAAGTAACCTGATCAAGGAATCATCGACTTGTAAACAGCAAAACTAAAGAGGAACCGAGGTGGCTGATTCCCTGACCAGGGAGGTTTTTCAGTTTCAGAGACTTAAAACTCTCTGGCTGTTCCCGTATTAGGCTGGGCTAGTTCCGAAGCTTGTTTGCATTTAAATAAAAATTTATATTTCCAGAGTCATGTAGTTTAAACATCAAAGACTCCTAACAGACTAATTTAAAAAAGTAAATACAAGCAGTTCTACTCTTCCTTCACCCCATACAATCCCAGCACTCCTCCCTCTAACCAAGGCCTCGATGAGGAAACCGTTACTTTTCTACTGGAGTTTAACTGCTCCTAAATTACATGCTCATACGCCTTTTCTGGTTAAACAACAGACATTCTCTGTTAACCTCATGTCACAGAAGATGAGGCCTTACTTCTCTTTCCCTATCTTCTCTCCACCCCTATCTTCTCTCCACCCTTCCAGGTATAATTCTGTTAAATCAAGTTAGTATTAACATTATAATTAAGCAATATTTTTCACTTTCAAGCCAAATGATGTTCTTTGATGTCTTGCTTTCTAGTACAAGTGTTTTTCAGGTAGTTAATAAGAGCCTCCGTTTATTTTCACTTGGTTAATTTCCTATTTTTCACTGCTAATTTTATCCCAAAGGCTCTGAAGCTGAGAGTACTTGTGCCACATACCAGGTCATCTATCGGTTTTCTTTTTAAACCTAGAATCTGCCTTCTGTGCTCCTCCAGCAGACTCTGGGTACTGTCTGGACAGGTGCACAGCAGTCATCCTGGACCCCGTCCGCCACTCTCCTGTTTCACATTCCATTTCTGCATCTGCCTCCCTCCTTCTTTCCTTTTTTTTAAAAAAAAAATATATATATATATATATTTAAAGAGAAGGGGAGGGAGGGAGGAACATTGATCCATTTTGGCTTTTTCTCTCGCAGACTTGCTGATCCTGTCTTTTCTCTCCTATTTTATATCTTGTCTTTTCATTCTACTTTCTGTAAAGTTTATCTTCCAGTACTTCTACCATTGCACTTTTTAAAGTCCCAATTATATTTTTAATTTTCAAGAGCTTTTCCTTGTTTTGAGATTTTTTCATAAAACCCTATTGCTGATTTCAGCAATCTTTGAGGATACTCATTAGTTTTTTCCATCTCCCTTCATTGCCTGTTCTTCTTTGCCTTTTCTTTTTCTCTCACGCAGAGGTTTCTCCTGCTGTGGAGGGGCCCTTGCCCTCCCTAACAGTGGGGCATTACAAAGCTGTTCTGCTGTGGGGCTGCTGAGAGGGGAGCAGAGGTGCTGGTTTGTTGGCTGTTTCACTGCAGGGATATCAGGCTGTGAGCTGCCCTTTTCATGGGGAGACTCCCACATATCAGGAGCTGGAAGTTTTTTCTGGGGCCTGTTCAGTTTGTCCAAAGAAGAACCTCGCATTCTCAGGCCTGGGTGTCAGAAATATGGCTGGCTGCCAGTGTTCTGGATTGGGATGGAGAGGGGGCCTTGGTTCCAGAGTTCAGACGGAGACTTAACTGTTTTCAGCCAGTGTTCACCTTCATCCCCACCCTAAGCGGTGCCAATATTCCCCAATATCTGGGGCCTCTGCAGTTGAGTCTCACAGGGGACTAACCCTGCACTCCTGAAAGGGTGAGGGCAGAGTCTCCTGGGTGTGGGAAGAGCCCGTGGTTTCAGCCCTTCAGGGTTCCTACTGCCAACACCTGTCTTGCTTCCAAAGGTTGTAACTGCCTCCGTCTTGAAGCAGTCAGTCACTTTCTCCCACTTTCCACTGTCTTCCCAGCTTTGTCTTGAAATTATTCTCTGCTAGTGTCTCCTCCCAGGATTTTTGTGGCTTCTTACCTTTTTTATTCCTTTACTGTCTTTTAAGAGAGTCTAGGAAAGGAAGGCAGTTCATTAAGTTGGTCAGCTGGCCATGTTAAATAGGAAGCCCCATAGTGTTTTTTTACAAATTAAATGCAAATCCTTTACAAGCTGGTAAGCCCCCTTTAGTTCCCCTCACACTCCTCAGATTATTTTAATACACTTTACCTTAATTTTTCTTACCCTTTGACCATACCTGCCAGGCCCCTAAGGCATTCCCGTCTTCCACCCTGTGCTCCGTCCCCTGCTCCAGTTCTGTCACTCCAGTGTTCCTGGGCTGCCAGAATAACAGAATGGAGGTTCTGTGTATATGTGGCAGTTTCGTCCCTGCCTTCCAGCCCCATAGGAGCCAGCTGCAGAAACAGTTGGAATGGCGTGTACTCAATGAGGACTCTTCCAAAAGAAATCCCACCCCAGCACTCAGAAATCCAAAGAGTATTTTTAGTACTTGGCAAAATAAAGATTTCTTCTTCAATACCCATGTGGGAAGATAATTTTTTCCTCTTTTATCTAAATTTAGTCTTCATACAGCTCAGAACAACTTATTATACAATATGAATGATAGAATTGTAAGGCATCACAGATGGTACAAAATAACAGGCATCCAACATTTTTTTATTTTCTAAGGATTAACTACAAAAATAATGCAGACTTCAACTGTGATATGGCAGAAGCCAACTACATAGTAAACACACTCCTCTTCCCATTTCCAAATCTTTTTTTCTTTTTTACCCTCAACCGAGGATATGTTTATTGATTTGAGAGAGAAAGAGAGAAAAACATCGATCGGTTGCCCCCCATACACACCCCGACCAGGAATCGGACCTACAACCTAGGTATGTGCCCTAACCAGAATCGAACCAGTGTCCTTTTGGTGCACAGGACAATGTTCCAACCAACTGAGCCACCCAGTCAGGGTCAAATCTGTTATTTTTAATAGTTAAATATTCCCTTAATACTTGAGAAATATCTTTTTTAACATGCTACATGAACTAAGGAATTGTTTAGCCCTAAGAAAAAACAAACAGCCACTTGCCTTTAAATTTGTAGAAACGGTTGAAAAATGTACTTTTTAGGGAAGGCCATTGCTAATAATAGATTTCAAAATATACAGTTCCATCACATTGCTTTTCCATGTAGGAAAAAACATTTACATACTTACATAAGGAATTTGGATCCTAGCTTGTCTGGCCATATGTTATTTGTATAGCTCCTATAGCAAAAAGAAAGTACTGTTGCTATCAACTAAAGATATCAACTAGGTGTTTCGTCACCAAAAAGGATCATTCAGGAAAGGGAAAGGGCTGCAACCCAGTGCAGTGCATGCTGACATGGCAAGCTGTGTGCACACACTGCCTGCGTACCAAGATGCAGGGGCACTTATATGAGAGCATGGAGTTAAAGGAAAGGGAAGTTAGAACCATAGAGCCTTATTATAAACATAGTTCTCCCTAGGTTCTCGCATGTGGGGTCCTCATTATTTCGAGAAGAGTGCCAGAACTCCCAGAAGCCCTAGCTCCTCCCATTGGCCCTAACCGCTGATTCACTTCGCTTCCAGTTTCCCTTAGTCTTTACACTGGGTTCTGGGATATTTACATAGACTTTACCACTTCCCTTCCAAACTCCCTTGCACAAAGCACAGCACTGTTGTTTCTAATGAGTGGCTGCTGGTGAACTATATCACCTTCCCAGCTTGTGCAAATTGTTGTTGCGAAGAGAAGCCTGGGCCTAAGACATGCCACAGCTTTCCATTGGAAAATATTTTAAGTACTTGGAAATAGCACACATAAAAAGCTAATTCTGTGTATATCCAGTTGTTTACTATATAATCTTTAAGGGACTAATTCCTCCTCTGTCCCTTCAGAAAAGCTCTAGATCAGTGATGGTGAGAATGAGCTCAGAGAAGCCTTCATCACAATCCTTATTTGGAAGGGCGCAGAGAGGAAGCCAGAGGGAAGCTTTTCTTGCTGTAGCTACTCATGGCATTTCTCATTCATCATCCACATAAAGGAAAAAACACTCCTGCTTTCCTTCTCTAGACTCAAACTATACTTACAGCACTCCTCTGTACTCCAGCAGTGTGGGGGTTTCCACTGCCACCAAGCAGCTCTGTTCTCAGAGGATACCCAGTAGATGTCTTACAAATTTAACGTAATTCAGACACTGTTTGTTAGCGGACAGTCCCCTGAATTGGAATGGAAGGCTGTCCCCTCTTGGGCCCTTGTCAGCTCATGAGAAGGAATTCAGACAGCAGTGCTGACACAAAGCAAGTGAATTTATTAAGAATACACTTGGTGCCTGGCCGGTGTCGCTCAGCAGTTGAGCATCGACCCATGATCCAGGAGATCTCGGTCTGATTCCTGGTCAGGGCATATGCCTGGATTGCAGGCTCGATCCCCAGCAAGGGGTGTAGGAGGCAGCCGATCAATGACTCTCTCATCATTGATGTTTCTCTCTCTGTCTCCCCCTCTCCCTTCCTCTCTCTGAAATCAATAAAGATATATTTAAAACAAAAAAAATAATACACTTGGCATAAAGCTCAAGTGGGCAACTCAGCTAGTCTGAGCACTCCACCTGGTGGGCATTCAAGGGTTTTATTCTTTTTCCCCCATAGGTTTCAAAGCTCCCCTGCCAGATATATTGGATGGCAGACTAGGTTTCAGAGCCCCCTTCTACATTGTTGCGGCTTATCTCGGCATGTTTGTACGTATATCTGGTCATCTTGTTTGGCAAGTCTTAGGTCTTCTTTGTTCAATGGGTGAGATAAACTCCCCCTTCTTTTGCCCTTTCCCCCTTTCTTGCCCTAGCAGTTATCTTTCCTGCCTAACCTCCTCCAGGTGATATCTTCCCTTGGGTTTAGCTGGCACAAATGGCATTAATTGGGCCTTTGTTCTCTATTTTCCCAGGCCAGGGTGATTTAAGCTATGTATTCTCTGCTTAGGAAGGAGGTATAAACCTTTTGCTCTCAAGTGTCCTTGGCTGGGGAAGATAAAGTCTTGCGATTCACAAGCTGGCTGCAAGCTGCCCAAACTGTTTGGTCTTCTTTAATATTCTTGTCTATTTCCCCTTCCACTTGCCCAGGAATTTTCCCAGCTTCTTACTATCCTGCCACATGTCTACCTGGAGATAGGATCAGAACTCACAAGTTCTGCCCCACCCACACCCACACCCATTTTAGGTGCCAATCCCAAGTCCAGGCTGGCCTGGATTACAAAATGGTAAACCCTCTTTAGTTCCCATCACGCTCCTCAGGTCATTAATACACTTGACCGGCTTACTGATCTGCCTTCCTTTCCCAGACACTCTTAAAATGGACAGTAAAGGAATAAAAAAGTCTGTCCCACAAGACTGCCCCACCCACACTCACACCTACTTTAGGTGCCAATCCCAAATCCAGACTGTCACCTGTTTCTGACTGATCAGCTATAAATGGGAGGTTCCCACAACCCCCTCCTCCATTTTGGTTAATTTGCTAGAATGGCCTATAGAACTCAGTAAAACATTTCACTTAATACATTACTCGTTTATTATAAAAGGATATACTCCAGAGCAGCCAGATGGAAGAGATGGGTAGGGAAAGGTATGTGGGAAGGGGTGTGGAGCTTCTTTCCCTGCCCTCTCCAGGGATGCCACGCCTCTACCTGTTCACCCACCCTGAAGCTCTCTGAACCCAGTCGTTTGGGATTTTATAGATGCTTCATTACACAGGCATGATTGATTAATCTTTGGCATTGGTGATTAATTCAGCCTCCCTAGAGGTGGGACTGAAAGTCCAACCCTCTAATCACCTGGCTGGTTCCCCTGGCAACCAGCCCCCATCCTTGGGGGCTTTCCAAAAGTCACCTCATTAACATAAGCTCAGTTTCACCAAAAGAGGCTAGTTAAAAATAACAAAAGGAACTCTTCAGCCCTGGCAGAGTGTGGCTCTGTTGGTGCCTGAGAAAAGGGTCAGAATGAAGAAAAACATTAAATCCTTAAGTTACCAGGGTTTTAGGAGCTACCCTAATCAACACTAAGTGGAAGTCATGCTAGGCAAACAACCTGACAACTACGCTGACAGCTTGGAACCATAATTAACTCATGGTCTTCTACCCTCACATTTTCCCTATAATCTCTTAGCTTTCCCTTGTTCCAAAAATAAAATCCATGTGCTAAGACACCAAGTTAGTTACAATTTCAGTGGACTGAAGTTGCAGATCTCAGCAGGACGTGGTAAAGCACCAGCTTGTTTACATGTGATCTCTCCAGGGCTAGGCATGTTTTATTAGCTATTTTAGATATAACGCACTTTTCAGTTTTTATTTAAAATATCCTTTTGATTTTAGCCTACAGTTGCTTTTTGCTCTTTAAAATGTGTCGTGTCCCTGTTAACATGGTTGATGGTGTGTGTTTTTCTTTCTAGTTATGAAAAACCTCCTCCCGGGCTGATCAAGGTCAGTGTGAAGAGTGTCCTTTGGGTTGTTCTCTGAGCCGTTTCACTCGGGGCTCAGGCTCAGTAACTTGCTATGAAAGCAGCTGCATAAGGTTTTTGAACCACCTTTTGTGATAACCCTGTTTTTCCCCTGCAGGTGCCAGACACACACTTTGGGCTTTGTCACAAGCCTATGCCCTTGTAGAAATTTAACCAGCCATGTGTCTGTTCCCTGAGAAACCGAGGCAGGCCCCGGTGTCCCTCAGCCATCACTCCCCTTCTCTATGCCCTGGTCAGTGTCAGAGTCTCTGGGGGAGTGAGACTAAGAGGAGTGGTTAAAGGTCAAAGCAACCTTTTCTGTCTGCTAACTTTTAATTTTTAAAAATATTTTGAAAAACTTTTTTATTACAAATTTAATATTCATGGAAACTTGGAAGAAATCTAAAAGTTAAAAAAAAACACACAACGTAATTGTGTAATGCAGTTATTTGGTGGTGAAAATACATTTCAGAAATATAGCATGTGGCCTTCAAGATACAATAATCCATCTTAAGGTAACATGGTACTGTAATTATTCCAGAAAACCTTGTTTAATCCTATGGTTTGCCTCCCTCTACTTAGCAGAAAACTTGTAATCTTAGAATCAGAAATTGGAGCTCATCAATCATTTCTTTATGAACAACACTAGTACCATTTCTCTAAAAACAGCCACTTCATGTTTGTGACATAGTTCTTCTGGCACATTTATCCCCCTTTGGTCAGGTCTCATCTGTCTTTCCAGTCCCTAGAGGTAACCGATGTGGCCTTGGGCGCTGTGTTCTGCAGCCCAGGGGGGGACCCGGGCTTTCTTCCTTGCTGTTCACGCACCGTTTCCCTTTTCAGGAGGATGAGACGAAGCCGGAGGACTGTATCCCCGATGTACCCGGCAACGAACACGCCAGGGAATTCCTGGCCCACGCGCCAACGAAAGGACTCTGGATGCCCCTGGGGAAGGAGGTCAAAGTCATGCAGTGTGAGTGTGAGAGTGTGTGGAGTCCCGAGGACACACACGCGGGCTGCTTACCTCCATTCAGTGTTTCTCTCATCCAGCTCATTCCCGTGACAGTGCTGTTAGTCACGCACGATCTCTGCTCTATAGACATGGGGACCAACTTGCAGGCGGCAGGAAGCGGGCCCAGGTGACAGGTGGAGCAAAGGCGGGGCTCCAGGGCCCTGACTCCCAGTGCAGTGGCCTCCACAGGACGCTGGCTGCCTTGAGTACACTCTTAGTAATGTCCCTGCAACAGAAGGGACCTTCCATGGTGGAAATGCCGTGGGGGACAAGGGGTGCCTTGGAGGGCAGGTCCCTGTGGGTCTTGCCTCAGTCGGTCCCCCCATCAGTGGTGGTAAGGTTGTCCATGCGCCTGGGGAGCTCCAGGCCAGAGGGTGGGTCTGGGACAGGCAGAGCTGTGTGCACACCCCCGCCACCAGCGCAGCAAGGCCTGCTCCAGCAAGATGGCATTTGAAGAAAGGGCACCGCAGCCTTTTAAAGACATTTGTTTGTACAAAGAGTCTCCGTGCACATAATTGAAATAGCCGTTCCCAGCTCCATTTCTCCATTCCCTCACCACAGAGGTAACCACCTGAACCTCTTTTAAGGTTATTTCGAAGTTTAGCTCCACATACCTAAATAACATGATTATACGTATTCCTGCCCCTTGATCTTTCAGGTTTCCTCATTATCTGTTGGCTTCTTACTATATAAAATCCTGAGTTTTTGTTACACATCCCTATCTCTCTGTAAGGCTGTTTTACATCAGATATTAGAGCGGGCTGCCCCTGGAGCCAGGGATCTGAGAGACGGCAGGGAGCACGCAACACTGCGTTTTATGGCCTGGCCTCAGCAATCATCAGCCGTTATTTCCATAATGTGCTGGTGCTCCCACAGCTGAGCCTGATCGCTGTGCAGGGGACACATCGCTGTGCAGGCTGTGACCGTGTGCCTGCGAGGACTGGGCCTACTGGAGTCCTCTTGCAGGCCGGCCCCACACTCACTCCTGTTCAGGAATGAGAGGTGGAGATTGGTAACTGGATCTCACTGCAGGGTGACGTGCCTGGGCTGCTTAACTGATAACAAAATATGTGTTTTACTGTTGTGAACAGTAGCTGCTGAGGTCAGTATCTCCAAGTCTTTCTCATCGCGCTGGCTAGTTTCTCACGGAAGAGTTTTTTTCCTGCCCAAGGTGAAGGCCACATTCTTGGGTTCTGGGAACTGATTCGAGGAACAAGGCTGTGAGGTCTCAGCATCCAGCCTTCAGCCGTCCACACCCTCTCCCTGTGTTCAGTGTGGCGCCTGGCCTTCCAACGAGCTTGACATCTGCACAGCCAGAGACCTCCTCTCACCTCCTCCAGAGAACGAACCTCCTCTGTTTCGGAGCTGGGGAGAGATGCATATGGCCCTGTGACCAGCCCTCCTCATTTAAGCTGCGCCCTCAACTCCATTTCCACAAACGTGCTGCCAATTTGAGCTTTTGGGGGTTCTACAAATCAAAATTGAGTTGGTCCTCAGTCCTCTCTTCCGCAGGCTTAGACTTCAGTTCTCAGAGTCTAACCAATTTGTGCGCTTGCCTGCATTACGGCTTCCAGCGCTTCCACTGTGGCCTTCTTTCCCAGTTCCCAGTGCTTGTGGGCCATGCCTCGTTAGGTGCCCTCTCTGGTGTTTTATGGGATGTCAGGAAACCGGTGAAAGTGAATGGTCGCTTTAATCTGCCATCTTTACTCAAAAGTCTGCTGCGCTTTTAAGTTTAAAAACCACCTTTTTCTGTTATGGGGTGGTTAGTTGTGTTTCACTTACTCTTTCCCAGTTCTTTTCATTGACTTGCAAATTAAGAGTGTTTGGTTAAAACCAGAACCAGTTTTACCGTGAAGTTAATGAAGCTTAACCTTGTGGGCCCCTCACTTGCACCTTCCAAAGGCCTGTGAAGTCCCAAGATGTGTTCAGATGGTGCTGTCTTGCCGAGGCAAGATTTTCCTTTTCCCTAAAGAGCCTCCCCCCCCCTTAAGTTAGGTAAGCTTCAGGCTCCACAAAACATGGACCCATCCCAGGTAAGAAAAAACATACACATCACCCCTATTCTTTCATTGATTCAGTGATCTGTTATCTAGAGCAGAGCTTCTCAAACTTAGGGTGGGCCTGATACTCTGCATTTCTTTTCTTTTTTTTAGAGAGAGAGAAACATTGATTTGTTCCATTTATTTATACATTCATTGGTTGAGTCTTATATGTGCCCTGACCAGGGATTGAACCTGCAACCTTGGCACATCAGGATGACACTCTAACTAACTGAGCTACCGGGCCAAGGCGGATACTCTTAACAGGTTCCCACGTGAGGCCAGTCTTGCTGATCCATTGACCACACTTTGAGTTAGAGGGATCACCTTACCTTTAACAGAGTTTTGATCACAGATGGTCTGTATTCTTGATACCCACACATCGATCCATGGCATTGAACATCCCTCCATTTTTGTCAAAAAGGCAGACATTCTGCATTTGCATTAAGAGTGCACTTCTTCCCCAGCTGGAAGTAAATCAAAATAGTGGGGAGATAAGCCCTGGTCGGTGTGGCTGAGTTGGTTGGGCATCCTCCTGAGCACCAAAAGGTTGCCGGTTTGATTCCCAGTCAGGTCACATGCCCGGGGTGTGGGCTCGATCCCCAGTAGAGGGCTTGCAAGAGGCAGAACATCAATGTTTTGCTCTCACACTGATATTTCTCTTTCTCCCTCTCCCTTCCTCTTTCTAAAAATCAATTTTTAAAAATATTTTTTAAAAAATAGTGGGGAGATAAGCTCAGGGGCATGCATGTCAGTGGCAATCAAGAATCCCTAACCTCATTTTTTCCAATGGTTTCCTACTACCAACTCTCAAAAATATAAAGGGAAGAACATTACTTTCCTGTCACTACGTATTTTCAGTAGCAGCCAGCATGGAGCAAAATTGGCTGATCTTGACTATAATCACTCTTCCTGCCTCCTTGGTTAGAATTGATGCCTCTATAGTTTGCTAGGGCTGCTGTCACCAGGTACCACAAACTGGGTGACTTAAACAAGAGAAATTACTGTCTGATGGTTCTGGAGGCTAATCTAGGTGTCAGCAGCGTGGTTCCTTCCGAGGGTCTCTCTGAAGACCTTATCTCCCAGTAAGGTCACGTTCTGAAGTACTAGGAGTTAGGACAATTCAACATAATGAGGGGGCAAGAGGGATGACACAATCCAACCCATAACACAAAGTTTAAAAAGAAAATAAAATTACACTTTGCTTTTTGCATGCTATTGCTTAGTAAGCATTGGGTTTGTTTCTGCAATTCCGAGACTAAAGGGCACTTGAGGAAGCAGCTTCCCTCTATTTTCTGGGGTCGTACACTTACCCTCCACTGGCTGCATTTGCTTTTAAAATTGGAATCTAATGAAGAATAACTTTAATATGACCTGCTGATACTTTATCTTGATTAAGTAAAAATACATTATCTTACAGAAATATATCCCCTTTTTCTTTGTTTTTAGGTTGGCGCTGTAAACGGTATGGTCACCGAACGGGCGACAAAGAATGCCCTTTCTTTATCAAAGGCAACCAAAAGTTAGAGCAGTTCAGAGTAGTAAGTAGAACCCCAGAGTGTGAATTTATGTTTACCAAAGACGGTAAATACCCATCAGTCAGGCAGTAATCGGTGAGCTGGGGGTTCACATAAAATACATTCCCAAAAACCTTTTCTGGGCAAAGTATCTAGTATTAACTACATCACTGTTAAATCGAGTTTGTGTGACAGATTAAACATTAACAAAAAACTAACTTCTTATTAGAGCGTTACTTGCTTACACCTTGGGAAAGCGGTTTCTTTTTTCTGAAGCAGACATTGTTACCCACTTTTTACTTAATATGTCAAAAGAAAAAGTTTCATAACAAAAATCAGGGTTCTAGTTTCCCAGTCCTTGTCTAGAGATTAGACATCTTTTTATTATAAACTAGAAAAGTGCATAAATGATATATCCTCACGTGACAGTAACACCTCCCAGGGATGTTAATTCACCATTCAGTAACTGCTCATTCACTGCTCAGCAACTGCCAGGTCAATTTCACTGTGCTCTGATCAGGTATATTGGGATTTCAGCATATATCAAATGGGGGTCCACATTCTCCAGGCATTTTAACACATTGAAAATACTGTGCTTTCATTTTAATAAATTGAAGAAGATATTCTGGATAAATCACTGATAGCTGGAATATAAATTTTTATAGCTCCTCTAATAGACAGTTTTGGTGATAAATATCAAAAGCTTAAACATACTCAATATTTTTTAAACTCAGAAATCTAAGTTCTAAGAATTGATCCTAAGGATATAACAGAACATCAATATACACACTTTTTTTATGAATGTAGAAGGATAACTTTCAGAATTATTTATATGGTTAAAAAATAGAAACTAAAGAAAAATAGGCGACAACTTCAGTGGCCAACATACCAACATAAATTACTATAACATAGAAACCATACAGCTTTTAAGAATTATGTTTTAGAAGAAGGTATAATGTCATGGGAAGATGTTCATGAAAATATAAGTGAAAAAGAGAATAGAATTACAATAATATGATTATAAATTTTTGTAAATTATGAATGACTGGGAGAACCACACTAAAATGTTAGTGGTGGATACTCCTGGTGGTAAAATGAGATATTTTTAACTCTATTTTTTACTTAATATGTTAAATTTTTACAAAAACATATTTTTAAAGATAATTCACATACCAAAATTCACTCTATGTGTATCCATATTTTTAAGTATTTTAAGTGATTTTAAATTATACAGTTATTACAGGAATACACTTGCCTTACTTTAACAAAATAGAAACATTACAGTAAGGTTTTCCAAAATTGATTTTTCAAGTCCAATCTTGCCTCTCTCCCCAAAGGGGATTTACGGTAAGTAGCATGATAAGTATATTTCCAGAATTCTTTTGGCACATTTCTGTGTACCTATAAATGAATCATTCTTCCATTTTCCAACTCACTTGTTTTGCTTAATATCTTTTGATCATCTGTCCACAGAAAACAGAGAATTACCTCAATATTTTTAACCTTCAATAGTATTGATTAATGATTCTTCCATGGTTTATTTCCTTATGAAGGATATATAAATTATAATCCTGTATTTGTGTAATCTGAAAATCTTTTTTATGGCCTCCATAAATTTGAAGTAACTGTGACCCACAGGAGGGATTAGAACACATAGAATATAAAATTACACCAAACCGGGGAGGGGAAAAACCAATTTCAGTGAAACAGGGATTTAATTTTAATTTAACAATCTATTAAGCCTAATCCAACATTAAGCTTCTCTAACCCTCAGGCCCATGAAGACCCCATGTATGACATCATACGAGAGAACAAAAGGCACGAAAAGGATATGAGGTGAGGCAGATAACAGTGCCCTCCGTTTTAAATTATGTCAAGTTGGAAACAGCCACTCCAGCATTGGAGGAGACGCTGATAAATACGGTGCTGTAACTGGGCAGTGCTGGGAGCAGGGAGCAATCACTGAGGAGCAGGGTTCCCCTGACAGCAGGTCACCTGCTCCACGGGCTAACCCAGGGCAGTGGGATGCCTGGCGTGGCTTGAGGCTCCACTGCATGACTGCTTCTCTTTCACATGATTTAGTTTGTCTCCTCCAGTGTCTTTAGGGATTTGAGCTTTTGTTAAAAATTATTCTTAGCCCGGCCTGGCCTGGCTCAGCGGTTGAGCATCAACCTAGGATCCAGGTGATCAGGGTTCGATTTCCGGTCAGGGCACATGCCAGAATTGTGGGCTCGATCCCCAGTCTGGGGCATGCAGGAGGCAGCCGATCAATGACTCATCATTGATGTTTCTATCTCTCTCTCCTTTCCTCTCTGAAATCAATAAAGATATATTTAAAAAAAAAAAAATTATTCTTAGACGTGACTGAAGATAGAGTGAAAACACAGGAGGACTTTATTTTCTCAAGTTAATGGCCCTGAGTTACAATTGTTCAGGAGGCGGGTCACCTAGTGTGGGCCTGAGCAGCAGGGGAGGAACGGGACAGCCGTATCTGCCGGGGTTACAGCAGCAGGACTGTGGAGACGTGGGGACACCTAGGACAGTGCGCGTGCAGGACTCTGCCCGTTAGAGCCCTGAGCCGGGGGAACGAGACAAGGGAAATGTGCAAAGATAACTCAGCGCTGTGCTTAAGAGGAGACCATCCGTGACTCCACCCTCACTACTAACCGAGCATCTAAAAGAGTGAATCAGTTCAGTCCCGCTGAGCCCCGACCGTCTCCCCACAGGATCCAGCAGCTGAAGCGGCTCCTGGAGGCCTCCACCTCGACCGACAGCAGCAGCTCCAGCTCAGAGGACGAGGCCAGGCCCAGGAAGAGGAAGAGGAGGGAAAAGCAGAGGAGGAAGAAAGAGAAGAAGAGGAAGAAGCGGCGGAAGCACAAGGCCCCCAGGTCCCGGGAGGGCGCGGGCTCGGACTCGGACTGACGGCCGCTCGGCGCGTCTCAGGTCAGCCCTGCGGCCAGGAGCGGGACTGAGCAGCCGGACCTGGAGAGGGACGGGAGGGCGCCTGGCGTCCAGGCGGGACTCCACCTGCCTTCCCGGGAAGGGCCACCCCAGAGAGGGGCTCGCGGCCCCCCAGGTGCCCGCTCCGGACAGCGCCGCTTACAGCTGGAAGGCTCCTCCCGGGTCCGTCCCCGGGGTCACTGGGGCTGTGGTTCCTTAGAAACGTCGGGGCGCCGGCCTAAGGGAGCCCGAGGACGCTTCTCCAGGCGCTGTCACCTCCACGGTGAGGCTGCCTAACTCCTGGACTTCAGGCTGGACTCTATTGCTGACGATAATAAAAGTCATTATTTATTTTCAAATATATTTATTTTTTATTTCTGAGTAACACATGCATGTGTTCCAAATTTCAAAGGTAGGTAAAGTTTAATTATGAAAAACCTTCCTCCTCCCCCAGCTTCCCAGTTCCCTTTCCCACTGGCTACCACTTTCACCAGCTTCTTGTGAAGTCTTCCAGAAATATTTTATATATCGCAAGAAAATATAGGGCTATTTTTTTACACAAATGCTACACACATTCACCTGCACATTGCTCTAGGGACCACACTTGAAGAACCACTGCTCTAATCTTTAACCTCTTACTGGTCTTCCTTTTTACTAATTATTTTAGTGTCAAGTACATTTGGCATTGCTGCACAGAAAGGCATGTGCTTATTATAATCACCTGAGATGCTTTGTTGATTGGGCAGGAGAAGTTCCTATAACAACAATGAAAACTCGTGTAGCTACACTGCATTTAACTTGATTGGCTCTTACTGCCCAAACCCTAAGATTTTCCAGAGTAATTGACTCAGATAATTTTTAAGAATATAAGGGAATTACTGTACTGAGTCAGCTACCCATACCCAAAATACACCCTTCACTTCCTCTTGGTTAAGCTCAGCTCTCCTGAGCCACAGCAGAAGCAGCTCAGCCTGTCAGGGTGGTGCCTGCAGCTAAGGGAGAGTATATCTTGTTCTTTGCTGAACCCCAGGGGAGCTAGATCTTGCTCGCAGGTTATGTGTCCCTCCCTATCTAGCAGAGCCCCAGGAACTCTCTACTCCCATCTCTGGCCTCTTTCCCTGGGGGTTGGATTCCTCCTTCTTTAAAGAGCAGCAAAATAATAAAGAGCAGCCAATCCAGGCCCAGATTGGACCTATCTCAGTTGCTCATCAGTAAATGCTCCTGGCCTTGGCCTCAATAACGAGTGGTCCAGGTTGCAATACCAGGGCTTGTTTCAGAAAGCCAGTTAAGTCAGGCATGCTTTACACTTATCCTTGGTGTCCTAACTCAGCATGCAGCACGTGGCCCATTTGCCCTCGCCTATATGTCTGTGTTTCCTACCCAGTCCCAGCCTCTTCTCCTTCCAGGAATCTCTTACTGTCCTCCTGGAATCCCATTCATGATCAAAGTATTCTTAAACAATATGAAAAAAAAAAAACCCTGCATCAGTGATTCCCAAACCTTTGGGGCACCAAAATCAACTAGAGTGCTTATTAAAAAACAGATTCCTGTCCTCCCAGACTTCCTGATTAAGTAGGTCTGGAGTAGATCTGGGAATTTTCCTAGTAAGTCCCCAAAGGATTCTAAAGCTGTTGCTCTGGGGACCACACTTGAAGAACCACTGCTCTAATCTTTAACCTCTTACTGGTCTTCCTCCACTTCTTGCTTTAACTGGAATCTGGGCATCCCCTTCAGCCTCTACAAGTTAACTACCACAGCTACTCCTTCATCTGTTTTTTTCTGTCTTTTGTTTCTGGTCCAGATTCCAGAGTCCATCACTTAAAACCTGTCATAACCCTTGACCTGTGGTCCTTTTTTATGAATTTATTTTATTGAATTTATTGGGGTGACATTGGTTAATAAAATTACACAGGTTTTACCCTGGCCAGGTAGCTCAATTGGTTAGAGCATGGTCCCAATACAACAAGGTTGCAAATTCAATCCCTGGTCAGGGCATATACAAGAATCAACCAATGAATGCATGAGTGGAACAACAAATCGGTATCTCTTTCCCTCCTTCCCTCTCTCTCTAAAAAAAATAATAAAGTTATATAGCTTTCAGGGATACAATTCTATTATATATACACTGATGTGATAGAAGAAGATGCAGCGAGAAAGGGCACTGAAGCTCTCTCTCTGCCATCTCCCAACTCTCGTACCTTATCTCGTCCACTTGGCGGTGTCCTTTATAATAAACTGGTAAATATGAGTAAAGTGCTTTCCTGAGTTCTGTGAGCTGTTTCACTGAATTTGTAAACCTTCAGAGGAGGTCATGGGAATCCTCAAATTCATAGCCTGGGGACCCCATTTGAGGCTGGTATCTGAAGTGGTGGTGTCAGAATTGAACTGAATTGGACACCTAGTTGTTGCTTGAAAATTGGCGATTGTTTGGAAATGACACATTTGGTATTAGAAAATGCATAGGATTTGCTAGAACTTCCCTAGCTCTGGTTAACCTACGGTTTGGGAAAACACGCATGAAGGGGAGGGAGGAGTGCTAATGAAGAATATTTGATTCCTGCACTGTCTGGTACAGCTCAGTGGTTAGAGCATCAGCCAGCACACCCAGAGGGTCTCGGGTTTGATTCCTGATCAACGGCACGTACCTGGGTTGCAGGTTAAATCCCCAGCCCCCATCAGGGAGTGTATGAGAGGAAACCAATTGATGCATCTCTCTCACATCAGTGTTTCTCTCTCTCTCTCCCCCCCACTCCCTTCCTCTCTCTCTAAAAATCAATGGATAAAATATCCTCACTCCTTTGGTGAGAATTAAAACAAAGAATATTTGATTCCTGATTGACCACATGGTCACCCATGGTATTGAGCAGCAGCTGTCCTGCTAAACTAAAAGTTACCAATGGAATTTAGAGATGAATTCAACTCCCAGGATTCCTTTGATACAAACCAATGAGAAAAAGTAAAATATACAATCCTTTGGTTATTGTCATCTGTAATAGCTGAAATTAAATTAAAAGAGAGAATTGTATCAAAACTTGATGCTGGAGCACTGGAGCTAGCTCAGATTTTGGTTGGTCTGAGCTTAGACCATGGTGTCAAAATCAGGCACTCCCCTCCCCCAAAAAAAGTACCACTCCCAAAGGGAGTAATTATGCTGAGACAACAGAAAGTACCCGTAAAACCTCTGGTCACCAAGAAGCTAGTTCACACTGAGGGAGAGCAAAACCAAGAAACCAGGTTCCAGGTTCTGAAAGTGATTGGAATTGACAGGTGAATATCCTTGTGTGCTTGCTTGAGGTGGCCACCTGGGTGGATGAAAGGAATGGACATTGGAGGGAGTGTAGCAATGCACAGATGGGCTGAATGTAGATATATTCCTTTCTACTCTCTGAGGTACAAAATGTCAATAGAACTGTGCTGTTCGCCAACCAAGAGACAGGGATTGCAGATAGCTATGTGGCAGATTCCCTGGGAGAAGGCCTTGAACACAGCTGGTAAGTTGGACTGACAAAAGCAGCCTGAGGGAGCTACAAATGAGTCTGGATCCAATTTAGATGGATCCCAAGGGCATGATGCTGAACAGATCAGTGGTTTCCAGGGGATGAGGTTTGAGGTTGAGGCAGGACAGTAAGAAGGTAAGGAGACTCCTTGACCAGTGGAATAAGGGAAACTGAGACAATATAATCAAACAAGGCGAAACAATCTGAGCAATTTATAGCCACCTAACCAAGGACTCAAAGGAGCAAATGGTTTACATATTCCAGACCATCCCGGGACAAAACAGCCTTGGTCCTGGAAGATTGAATATAGGGTAGGCAGGGTAAGGCC